ATGCCCTCCTTCTTGTACTCCTCCTGCTCCAGCACGAACATGTGGTGGTTGAAGAACTGTTGCAGCTTCTCGTTGGTGAAGTTGATGCACAGCTGCTCCAGGCTGTTGAACTAGGTGTTGCAAATAGCAAGGAGTTTGAGTGAGTCTGGAAAACCCAGTGGGGATTCAGCAAAAGAGACACAAAGAGGAAGGGCCTTAAAAAGGCCACTTATTCAAACAACTCACATCAAAGATCTCAAAGCCGGCGATGTCCAAGACCCCGATGAAGTACTGTCTGGGCTGCTTGGTGTCTAGCTGCTGGTTGATGCGGGTGACCATCCACAGGAACATCTTCTCGTAGACGGCCTTGGCCAGGGCGCCCACTGCGTTATACACCTTCGTGGACAGAGTAGTGATCGTTGATGCTACAGAAGACATGCTGTGAAGGCCTGGGATGGGTGTCATTCATTAAGGTCGCATACTCACCTGCTGCACAGTCTGGCCTTTGGTGACGTACTCATTGCCGACCTTGACCCTGGGGTAGCAGAGGGCTTTGAGCAGGTCAGCAGAGTTCAGACTCTGGAGATAGGCCGCCTTGTCAGCAACTGCACGAACGAGGTGAGAACAGTGAAGCTGACCACCGCTTATACAATTTAGGGTGTGAAGGGTAATGACAAAGAAAAAAAAAGTTTTGCTTGAAGAGGAATATGTGCAAATGTGACAAAACCATTTGTCACACTAATTTTAGTCTTTTTTTTTTGAGAGGATAATTTGGAATGTAGGGAATCAATGCTCTGTGTGATACTTAAAATATAGCTAAAGTAGACCACAGATAAAAATAATTAGAAAAATTCTAACCTAGAGGAGGGGTGATAGGAAAATGCTGATTTTTTTTTTTTTTTTTTTTTTACAGTGCATGTGGGCATGTAAATTATTGACTGGAATAAAAAAGGTCTTAATCAGATCATAAATACTAACTTACAGTAAGTCAGTGAAAATTGGAATGGGCAGAAATCACACCTCCACAAATCTTCTTAGTCATGTAAAACATGAAGCGTGTCATTTCTGTTCTCTAATACTTTTCCCGGTCATCAGATAGGTCCAGAAAGTGTAAACTTGGCCCCTGCCCTTGAGGACCTGATGGTGTCAGCTCTGTCAGCTGGAAGATGTGAGCAGGGAGCGGTACCTTCAGTGCCGTCCGGTTCAGCCTGCTCCTCCCGCTGCTTCTGCTTGAACTTCATGTTCCCGTAATGCATCACGGCTCCCGTGAGCTTGTAGATGGCCGCCTTTTCATCAGTGCTGAAACCCAGGATGTCCACAGCGCTCTGTGGAAAGAGTTGAATTTAAATCATCTCCCAGTTGCCACCATGGCAGATACCCTCAGGACACTGGGGCCTGCCTCCCCTCCTTCTTATGATGTCTTGACTAGCTCTTTGCTGTTTTCAAAAGGCAGTCCTATTCTTCAGCACTTTATTCCACAAAGCAGCATTAGTAGGTATGCACCAGTTTCCCATTGAGTCATGTGGGCAGTGAAGATATTATGTGTCCTGTCCACACTCACCGAGCCAAGACTCAGAGCCTTGGCTTTGGATGCCAAGGACAACACTCTTCCTATTTCTCCACATTAGCCAGGCCTTGCTCCACAGGTTTCTTATCTCATGGGTTTCCTTTGCTTCACAAATCTGTTCCCTCCTTTTCCTCCTATGTTGTCCTAGCCGACTCCTAGCCTGACTCCCTGGATATAACGAATGCAGTTGGGAAGAGGGGAAGAGCAGTGGCCCTTGAGTTTTTCCCTCTCTGATATCAGGTCACAGCTCAGCTGGCCATGAGATGCCTGGCAGTAAACTTCACCTGATCGTTACTTATGCAGGGAAGAGACATTTGTGAAAAGAACGTCTCCTTTTATTGAAATATTGTTGTGTCTTTTTTCTCTATTGGATTTTGATCACCTTCTTAGTTGCCCATTCTAGGCTTTCCAAAGGCTCATGCAGTGGAGGCAGGCATCAGACAAGGAGGGGGAGTTTGCTTATGTAACTCTTTCTCCAGATTATTTACCCCCAGTTCCAGCTCACTGACTCAACCTATTTAAAATGCCTAGACATTAATAAAGTCTTAGAAGAAGACTGCGATGCTTTTTTTTTTTAAACTTCCAACACTAGAGGTTATTTCTCAACTCCCTAACCCTTTTGGACATATGAATAATAATGAGGTAAAGCTGGTAAAAGCTGACATTTATGAGATGAAGGCACACAAATAGTTTATAGACTTTTTGAAAATAATATTTTAAGAGAAGAAGTGTTTTTGTAAGCAACTCCTAATCCTGTCTTGGGAATGTTGGGATATTCCCACTGGTATTAAAGTTAAGAATAATCAAAGAATGTTGACTATTCAGAAATGCAAAAGAAAACATGAAATATGTATAAAGTATATATATAAAGAAAATAAGCCAAAGAGTAATGATCCTTAAAAAAGAAGAGGAGAGAGAAAGAATCTGTAGTTCCAAAAATAAAAGTAAAGGCTCATGGAGGCCAAAAAGAATTTTTGAGGTTAGGGAATCCATTTCTTTAAATGCTGCATAGAGCAGGGAGGGGAATACTGTTAGCCCCCAGAGTGACATTTGAAATAAAATTTGTGTTTACATCTGACTACAGAGGAACTGTGGAAATCATCATGTTCTATTATAAAAAACCTAAAAATATCATAGGTCCTTTCCCCAGGTTATTGGATGTAGGGTCTGACATAAAATAAGAGAAACATCACTATTGGAGTACAAAAATTGATCCAAAGGACTGATGAGGAAAAAACAAAAAAGAGCCAACTAGCCAAGGAATGCTTAAGACTTAACATTTATTACAGACATTTTAAGCTTTCTGATACATAGGGTGGGGGCAGGCATTGAAATATCCTATAATTTTATTGCAAGAGTAAGGAAGCCTGAAAGGCAATATTGCCTATTTGTCGTCTTTCTGCTAATGCTGTTGACTCTATAGAGGGGAGTGTTGTATACTGCAAAATGAATTTGCTTTGTCCTGTTCTGAACCTGTTACTTACATCTGTGGCCATCAGCTCTTCCTGGTCATCAATGCTGGGCACTGTGATTTCGCCTTGACTGACAAAGGCAAAGTCATATGGGTTGGTGGTGATCAGAAGCATTTCTGTACACATGAAAGAGAACAAATATAGACAATTACTTTGGTTATCAAAAACATTTTAGAGGGACTTCTTAGAAAAAAGGGCTTTTATTCTTCTTTAGTAGAAAAAAATCACAGATACTTCTTACCAATAAGCTCTGGTTTCTTGTTGGACATAATTTGATAAAATATGTGGTAGCTTCTTTCAGCCTTTAGCTGGAATGTAACGCGGGACTTCTCCAGCAGATCTAGAAAGTCAGATTGAGCACACTTAAAAAAAAAAGGCCACAATGGAAAATTAAGCATTTGAAAAGTTCACACAACATAGATAACAAGATTTTCAGTATATTACTCCAAAGAAAAATATTTTTAATCACTAATACTCATTAACTTACATGTTTCAATATCTGCAGAAGCCAGTTTGCCTGTTGCACCAAAGTGGATCCTGATGAATTTACCCTTAAAAAGGCGAAGGAAGACTTTTTGTACATATTCAAAGGCAGACAGATATTTTCTTTAGCTATGGACCAAGCGGATGGGAAAGATACTGATACCACATGGCACAGAAGTGTCCATGCTGATCCTTAGGAAAGAAAGACCAAGAGACTTACAAAGCGAGAGGAGTTGTCATTCCTCACAGTCTTGGCATTGCCAAAGGCCTCCAGTAGGGGGTTGGCGCTGATGATTTGATCTTCAAGGGTCCCCTGCAAAGGCAAGAGCGGTCCTCACCTCTGGGGCTCCAGACTTCCCAAGAACCGTGAGAGTCTTGAGTCTGGCCCCAGACCCACCTGCATTTTGCCAGAGGTAGCTTCCTCCTTCTTCTTCTCCCCAGTGACTGCAATTGTTGCAAAGTACTGGATGACACGCTTGGTGTTCACGGTCTTCCCTGCACCAGATTCTCCGCTGTCGAGTCCACACAGAGGAAAAAGTCAGAATCTAACCACAACAATGATCAAAATTCAACAGAGAGAAAGGCATGAAATCTACATACGTAATCAGGATCGACTGGTTCTCACGATCTGTGAAAGAGAAATAGGAGATAATGTTGAAAAATATAGGTAGCACATAAGTTTTGTAAACTCAAAATTGTCTTTTAAAGCTCCCCATTCTCACACACACACACACACACACAGACACACAACTATATCACTTGTTACTTTGCTTTTTTCACAATATTCTTTTTAAAATAAGTAACAAAAGATGTGCTTAAAATTAGTCAGTGTGTTACACTCCTGTTACCTTTAGTGTGATAGAATATGTAATGAACGCACTATTTCAGTGTACTACCCTGGGAATAATTTATCAATGTCAGATGAATACTTGTTCCATGTTCCATTTAGTTACTTTGTTCATAGTTCAAAATCATGTTATTAATGTCCAATCCAAAGTTTTGTGTAGTAATTGGGATAACGTGTACTATGAGCTTTCAAGGCGTACTTTTTAGGAGAGGTGATGTATCAGCTGTAATTAAAATGAATAGTTCATTCCAAAATTTGGTTAATTTTGATCTGGAATTAGCATTAGTTTGGATTGTAGCATAGAAATCAAAGCAAAATTCTCTATGCTTTTGAATTGGTCCATTTTGTTCTTTTTTTAAAAGATTTTATTTATTTTAGAGAAAAAGCATGCATGGGGAGGTGGGAGGATCAGTAGGGGAGGGAGTGGGGGGGGGAGGAAAGAATCTCTAGAAGACTCTACACTGAGTGTGGAGCCTGACTCAGGCTTGATCCCAAGACCCTGAGTTCACAATCTGAGCGAAAACCAAGAGTCAGAGATGCCCAATGGACTGAGCCACGCAGGCACCCCTGGTCCCTTTTATTTTAAATATATTTCCCCGATTTTATTATGTTATACTCCTAATCATATTAGAATACTATTATTATGCTATTACTATTATTATGTTTGTGCTGAACATTTAATTCTCCAAGTACTGCCTCTGTGTCTTCTATGTCATCACTATACATGTCATTTATAAATGGCTCCACAAATTGTAATTACGGATTCACTCACCGGTCAGCATGAACTGATAGGCGTTGTCAGAGATGGAGAAGATGTGGGGCGGGGCCTCCTGGCGCTTCTTGCCTCGGTAGGCGGCCACCACCTCGGGGTTGTACACCGGCAGCCACTTGTAGGGGTTCACGGTGACGCAGAAGAGGCCCGAGTAGGTCTG